GGAATGTCCCGTGCGAGGAGCCTCGAGCTCGGGGGCCACAAATCTGACCAAACCCTGTTATAAACCACGATAAAAACCCAGCAGTACCGTCGCTAGAGGGCTTCTTTTTTTGGACAAATATTTGTATTGGTATTTCTGTTTTTTTCCAGCAAAAGACATTACACAAATGTAGGAATGTCCCCCATATTTTATAGAAGGGATATCAGAATCAGAAACGGGTTTATTACCAGGTTGACACGTACGAGGAATTTGACTTGGTGTCGTGGTGCATACATAAGCGAACTATATTAAGAACTTTATTAAGAACACTATAATAACATTACAAAAAAATAAGAAAGAAATGTAGTAAAATCGAAAATAAAGCAGTCATTGAAATAGAATGCAATACAATGTAAACATATGTAAACAAACCAGATATTGTCCACATTGTGTATCAGGCTTCCTCTTTATATTAAGTGTTGGAATCACAGGGGGGAAAAAACAAGAATATAGAGTTTGGACATATTGGTAATTTGGCTGAATATTTCTGATAATGTGCCCAGATAATCTTTTCCAAAATCCTTGTTAGAGGTGGTGACAATTCTAGAAACACCTAAATTAAAGAGGACCCTAACCAAATTCTGTGTGACTTTATTTTAAACAGGTGTTTAAAGAAGAGCAATGTTTATTTCAGGGGGGCTAGTTTCAAGATTCAAAGCCTTTTGTTTCCATATGGACAGCATCTTTTTCTGCATGTACTATCTGTGTTTCTGTCTTATTCTGTCGCTGCTATAACACCTGAATTTCCCTACGGTGATGATCAATAAAGGTCCGTCTTGTCTTATCTTATCTTATCTTAAGTCCCAGGCTCCTCCAACAATGCAACATAAATATATACAAGACATAAAACAATAAAACACATTAAAAAACAATAAAAGTACTGCAAGAAGTACAGAGTACAAATCATATCGTGGAAGAAGATGTTGACAATGTTGAATACAGGCAATATTTACAGTCAAATAAAAAATGACAAATACTTTGATCAGAGAGGAGAGCTGTGCAGATTTAAAAATGGCAGAGAAACACTGGCACTACGCTAAATGAGAAGACCTTGGCATGATGCTGTAGTGTCACTTTGGATAGATAACGTGTCAGTGGGATGTGAGGAAGGCTCGTCGTATCCGTGTGGCCCGTCCTTGGCTGTCAGCGCTGTAACAACCCCAAGAGAATATCAACACTTCCTGTGATGTGACCTTTGACCTAAAGTACTTACCACTCTCTGGTTGAAAACAATCCCGAGCATTGGATGTCACATTTTTCACTAACAGCTTTGTTTTCCCAACACTTAGTGACAACTTGTCTCCCTTTTTTCTCACACAGTGTTTTATCTGAGTGAGCGGTGGATAGCGTTGCTTTTTGATAAAGACAGCCTCTGAAAACTAAAGTTATAGATCAAACCAAAACTGGTTTAAGATGACTATTTTTAAGGGAGTCGCACTGAGGTCACCGCTTGTTGCTAGGGTAAAGTAACTAAGTACATTTACTCAAGTACTGTATTTAAGTACAATTTATAGGGACTTGTAATATTATTTCCATTTCTAGTATCTTTGTGCTTCTACCACACTGCAATTCAGAGGTAGATCGTGTACTTTTACTCCGCTAGATTTATTTCATACCTTTTCACAGATGTGGATGAATGATGTGAAATCTAATCAAGTGTTAAATCAGACTTTAGTTCCACCTGGAGTAAATCCACAAGCTACCCTGCAGTATACAAAGTCATTCAAACTAGCTGCACCTTCACCAGCTTTGAGAACACTTTAATGATCAATCATTATAAAACATATCATATATATTATTCTGAAATGGACCAATCTGCACAACGACTACTTTTACTTTTGGTACTTTAAGTATATGTTGATGCTAATACTTGCCTACTTTTACTTGAGTAACATTTTGAATGCAGGACTTTTAGTTGTAACAGAGTATTCCTACACTCTGGTACTTCTACTTTTACTCAAGTACAAGATCTGAGTACTTCTCCCACCTCTGCTTACAGCTGGCGTTCACTGTAACTTAACCTTGAACGGCAAGAAGGCACAGACAGAGGGTGAGAAAGGGAGAAAGAGGAAGACAACAGCAGCTCAGTGTCTCCCAGACTCTCCCCTCAGGATAAGGAAACACAGTGAATGATGTTGTCTTTACTTGACAGACTTGAACTCTGCACAAGTCCAAGTTGTTAGTTGCTACTAATGCTGACTCAACATGCATTTACTGTAAGTGGAAATTCCTCCAGCCATTCTCTTTTATCAGCTAAGAAAATATGCTAAATGTGAAGATACTTGAGAAATATACAGTAGAAGCACTTATAGAGAGTACATTTAGCAAAATGACTTATAACGAAACAGTTGAGTAATTAACCTAAGTAACAACTTTCAATAACAAAGTTGTGCGTACTTGAAAGTGTTGCTACTTTAACCTAGATGGAGAAGTTTAAAATGTTTGCAAACGCACCTTCTTCTCATCCCGCACTATTTAAGAAAGCAAATAATGTTGCATTGATAAAGCCTGCAACTTTAGTATGATGTAACTATCAGAAAAAACTTTAAAAAACAAGTCAATTATAGTTTTTAACAGCCAGATCGACCTTGTTGTTTGTGAGCAAAACACAACCAGTTTTTTATTTATTTGAAAAGCCCGAACCACAGCTTCCACCCATGTTGAATATCAAATGAAATAATCATTTATTATAACAAATAATTGAGTTTGTTGCAGCATTTCAATTACTAGTTTTTCTTTACCTCTTACAGATCCCCATGGTGTCAAAGTACAAACAAATACACAAGTTAAAAATTAGGATTTCCCATCATGCACTAAAGCAGTGTAAAATAAGCTTGCAAATACAGAGTTACAGTCGCTGTGTAAACGATTATAGTGGACGTGTTTAAGAACTTTGATATCATCGTCTCATGCTTTCATTTTTGTCTTTTCTGTCACCTTTCTCTAGAAATGTTTAAATATATGAGGTTTCTCACACTGTGTTTTTCATGCAGCCGAATCAGAGCGTGAAATGACTCTCTAAAGGATGCAACTACCATGTGACTTCCTGCAGACTAACCAACACACAGGAAGTGGTTTTAAATGCCTCTTGCACATCGCTGCTCTTCATGGGGCTATCCCAGCTGTCGACTTCCCTTCAGCTCAGGTGAAGCATGAAAAATCAGACGCCTCATTAAGCAACACTTACACACATTAGTTTAAATCTCCAGAGCTTAGACTAGCACATGCTTACAGTCACAGATAGGTTTGAATTTGATGGGTAACTTGACTGTAGAGTTTCCTGTGTATCTCACTACAGTAACTAGAGCTCCTCTAGTTCTACATTGTGGCTAAAGGTTGTGTATACAGTACATTATTTGAAACCCTGGTTTGTAACCAATGTGTTTCTACCCATAACATCTGAGAAAGATGACAGAAAAGTATCACAGTGTCAGTTATTTGATATGTCTCCTGGGCCAGTAATGTAAGTAGGATTGTATTGCATGTTTAATTGAGAATAAAGCATCCCCTTAATGCTTGTTTGAGAGGAACCCCTGTTGTTTAATCAGCTGTGATTGACAGTACTGCTACAAGCAAACAAAACCCATATTTGGATTTAAATAAAACTAGAGTTTGACAGAGTTCCCAATGCTCATAGTACTATACTGTAGATAGGAGCCTAAGTCCCAGTTAAAAGTGGAGTTAAAGTGGAATTTACATTGCGGTATGATTCACCACTTTGAGAGAAACATTCACTAAATTGCATGAATATATTTATATTTATGTCTTGTATTTATACTTGAGATATTTAATTAAGCTAACAAATACGGCTTTGACATCACTTTGTAACACTCACGCTTCTATTGGCTAGCGCTCCAACACATTGTACGTGATGCTAAGGGGCGGGACATCTCTAAGCAGGTTGACCAATCACAAGACAGCCGGCCAGCTAACCAATCAGAGCAGACTGGGCTCTGGTTTTCAGACAGAGACACCCAGTAGAGACACTACATACTGATATACACCTGAACATCAGCAGGAGAGGACTCTTTAAAGTAGAGACACTACATACTGATATACACCTGAACATCAGCAGGAGAGGACTCTTTAAAGTAGAGACACTACATACTGATATACACCTGAACATCAGCAGGAGAGGACTCTTTAAAGTAGAGACACTACATACTGATATACACCTGAACATCAGCAGGAGAGGACTCTTTAAAGTAGAGACACTACATACTGATATACACCTGAACATCAGCAGGAGAGGACTCTTTAAAGTAGAGACACTACATACTGATATACACCTGAACATCAGCAGGAGAGGACTCTTTAAAGTAGAGACACTACATACTGATATACACCTGAACATCAGCAGGAGAGGACTCTTTAAAGTAGAGACACTACATACTGATATATACCTGAACATCAGCAGGAGAGGACTCTTTAAAGTAGAGACACTACACACTGATATACACCTGAACATCAGCAGGGGAGGACTCTTTAAAGTAGAGACACTACATACTGATATACACCTGAACATCAGCAGGGGAGGACTCTTTAAAGTAGAGACACTACATACTGATATACACCTGAACATCAGCAGGAGAGGACTCTTTAAAGTAGAGACACTACATACTGATATACCCCTGAACATCAGCAGGAGAGGACTCTTTAAAGTAGAGACACTACATACTGATATACACCTGAACATCAGCAGGAGAGGACTCTTTAAAGTAGAGACACTACATACTGATATACACCTGAACATCAGCAGGAGAGGACTCTTTAAAGTAGAGACACTACATACTGATATACACCTGAACATCAGCAGGAGAGGACTCTTTAAAGTAGAGACACTACATACTGATATGAACCTGAACATCAGCAGGAGAGGACTCTTTAAAGTAGAGACACTACATACTGATATACACCTGAACATCAGCAGGAGAGGACTCTTTAAAGTAGAGACACTACTG